CCGCGCAAGCGCGGCGCAAGCCCCCGATTCGAGATGGAGGAATATTGGACAACCCCCAAATATGGCAACATACAGCCCGGCTGCAGCAAAGACATGGATAATGCCAATTTCGGATGAAGGCCCCGTACTGCGTCCCAATCAAATCGACGAAGCTGAGTTGAAAGACTGCTTGGGTTGTATTTTGGGAATGTTTGGGTTTCGTTCGCCTTTGACAGCTGTGTGGTCAGCATTTTGCTCTTTCGCGTTGCCAGGCAATTTTACTCTGAAATAAATGCTGTTTGTGAATGCCTCTCCTTCTCCGCCAGACGCATCCTTCGCCTCGCACGTTGGGAGGACTCAATGGTCGCACGCAGCTGTTGACGGGCATAAAAGGATCACCCATCAATAGCCGCGTTGATGAATGAACTGTTAACATCTGTTAATGTTCAAGCAGGATGTCATGCTTGACGCTTCAGACTTCGGGGTTAGTTTGTCTGACATGTCGGACAAACCGAAGCTGACCATCCTTCAGATGTCGTGGGGCAGCGTGCAAACCCGACAGCGGCATAATTTTGCTGAAAAGTTGTCAGCTTGCCGCACAAAATACAGAGTTCAAGCATGAGCTGCAGTGTGACAGGCGTGGGAGTCGGCTTGGCTGGACAGCAGTGAGAGCTTTGCAAGCACCTTCAGTAAAAAAGGTAGGTGGGAGGCCTGACCATACTTGATGACTATTCTGGCTTTGCATCGAACTTAGCAGACTTGGATGGACTACTTGATGCAAGGAAGCTTTGCACGCTCCTCATTTTAGTGCCCGCTGCCCAGAGTTTTTTGGTGTTGCTGACGTGGGAGGACGGTTCTTTTCTTGGCCATGAGAGTCAGCCAATTCACGAAAGATTCCCCGATCCGTTTTTTCCCTTTGCACGCACATGACTGATTTGTTGACGCGAGGGCATCTGCTTTGGCTGCGGCATCTGGAACTGGTGGTGGAAGCATCTTCGTTCCTATCCTGATCTCTTTCTCGTATTTGCAGGACTGTCCGGACAACAGAGTGCAAAGATCCTCAGTCACTGATGATGTCATTGCTGCTGCGAAGGAGTCTGCGGTAGTCGCTCTTTCCCAGTTTATGATACTTGCCGGAACCTCAACACTGCCCATGCAACATACCTTGTTTGCGGCACTGAAGTTGCAAGATACAACCACAGATTAGCATAAGTTGTTGTGCATGATGTTCATCATGAGATTGCAAAACGTAGTTGGAATTTGCGACATCCGATTTGTTTGTGATTGCTCCGCCGTGCTCCGCTGAGGTCGGGTCCATTGTGAACCTGTCCGTCTTCCTCGCCAGAAGGTGGCCCATTTCACTAGCCCAATTACATGTTTTCGGAGACCGAGCAAGCTTGTATTGCCCGGGTGTTGGCCGCATACAGTCAACAGTCAGGCCAGTTCTGCTTACTCTGTCAGCAGTGGACAGATGCATGTCAGCAGCGAGTGGTTTGATGACGTTTGATGCCTACTTAACAGGAGAATTTATCCCCGTGTGCGAGGAGGAAAATTCTCTCAAAATCCAAAAAAGAGAGCGGCAACTGCCGCATGATTCAAGCCATCACGTCTTGAGCCATCACATTCCACAGCATCAGAAAATTCATGCAACAATCAGGTCATGCCATGTGGCAAGCAACCAATGTGAGACTATTTTTACCAGGGCAAACAAAATTTGGCCAAGGCCCGAAACTGTTTCAAACCGGCTCTAGATCTCATGTCACCTTGCAGAAAACAAGCGAGCTCCACGAACGCAAGGAAGGGTCAGACTTGGCGCGCCAGAGCAAGAGCATGATTGCTTCGAGAAATCTATGTGGCGAAGGCATCCAGATTTTCCAGAGCTGCCCGTCATCGACTATGAGTCTTGGCGGAGCAAGAACTAGTAGAGCCTGTAGCGGGACATGAGCTGATAAGGACTCTGGTGTGTGTTGAGCACAGCTAATATGCTTTGCCAGGATTGTATCGTTGTTCTCATCCCGATGCTTTGTCTTGGTGTCACTCTCGGAGCCAGCAACCTGGAGGGAAGGTGGTAGCTGCATTTGAGAGACGTTCTTACTTGAGCTGTTCCAGATTTCCAGGACAACTGTCAAAGCCCCAAGGTCCTAGTGAATCGCACCTCACCGTCCTGGCTGCTGCTGACCTTACTTTGCTCCACGCTCTGTCTGAGCCACAGTGTTTGCTTCTAAACACATGATTTGGATCTAGGAGGTGCGTGTGGCTGCAGTTGCTTGGCAGAGGCCTGGCTTTGTGGCGCACCGGATCCAAAGGCCTCCGGCAGCTGAAGCAGGACTGACCAGATGCACTCGCTGACAGTGAATACTGGATGGACCTTCACAAGCGTACCACGTAGAGCTGCTAGATTCTGCCATTGTGCTTCGATGACGCTGTCTGTTCCTGATGCCTAGGATGGCTTGTGAGTATGCTGGCATGGGCGCAGCCTGGCCACTCTTAAGCGGCCACGCTGAATACTCTCCATTTACAAAGGTCATAGATGGGACATGCCCACGTCGTTGTGGGGAAGAGCTTGAAAATGCTTGAAACTTGGTCAAAACCTAGCTCGGTTGAGCTCACCCTTGCAAATGCTGCTGTTTTCTTGACATTTCTTGGCCTTGACAGACTTGTGTCAGGACCAGAGAGTGTTTTTGCACTATGTCTCGCTAGCTGGAGGCATCAGGAGCGTGCTCTGCGAGCATGATGGCGGTGTTCCGCAATGTGGCGCCAGGTTGATAGGCATTGATGACCCAGCGCTGTTGCATGCACGTTTACGCCCCTTTTGGTCGGCAACGAGGACACCAAAAGGTAATTTCCAATTGAAGCCTCGCTTCTGACAAAATGTTCGTGCTGCCTTCCTTCTGAGAGCACAGAGATTGGTTGGGCTGTGCAGTAGCATGAATCCGGTTGCAGGCGAAGCAAATCTGGACAACAATTGAGAGCTTGTGATGTCGGTGCATGTCGGTGTTGTGCTGAAAGCTTGCTCCTTTCAATATCTTTCAATGATGAAGGCACCAAAGGGTAATTTGCAACTGAAGCCTCGCTTCTGACGAAATGTTCGTGCTGCCTTCCTTCTGAGAGCACAGGGATTGGTTGGGCTGGGCAATAGCATGAAGCTGGTTGCGGGCGAAGCTGGGCAAATCTGGACAACAAGTGAGAGCTTGTGATGTCGGTGCATGTCGGTGTTGTGCTGAACGCTTGCTCCTTTCAATATCTTTCAATGATGAAGGCACCAACGGGTAATTTGCAACTGAAGCCTCGCTTCTGACGAAATGTTCGTGCTGCCTTCCTTCTGAGAGCACGGGTTTGCTGGGCTTGGGACAGAGAGCAAGCAGTCCAAGGCGAGCCTTTGACATCAGCTGATATTGACTCTACTTCTTGTCCTACGTTGATGGGCACAAACTTGAACAGCTTCTGAATCGGGGTACGTGGACGACAGTGGTAACGATACAGCAGGCACCCACGAGAAGGCACCTTAAAGTCTTTAAACTGTGATTGTCCACTGCCAGCATGCCAAAACTTGGCCGGGAAGGAGAGGGAACTCTTGGCGCACCGTGCGGTCCTCAGCTGCAATCCATTCACGTGAAGGGCGGAGAGAGTTGGAGTGATATTTGCGACGCAGTGGCATTGGACCTGAGAAACACAGAAGATATCCCTTGGGAATTCCATGTGCAGTTTGATAGGGCCTGCAGCTGAAGATGACGTGCCGCAGCAGGGCCCAGAGGCAGGTTTCGAAGAAGACGAGATATTCCAGGGTGCAGGGTTTGTGTAGGCAATGAGGGCATGACGACTCTCACCAGTGCGATGTTGCTTAAGAACAAGCTTCCAGAATCTTCTAGATCTCCCGCTGAACCGTCGCTAATGACAACCATTTCATTCGAAGAATTGCATTTTGGAGGATGCGTGGACTACCACTATGCTCTGACTATGCCAATGCTGGCAGTTGTAGTAGAAGTCATTGCTTGTTCATTGATTACTTCTATTTGTGCCGTCGCGCTCCAAGCTCCGGGATTCTGGTATCTTGTTTTTCTGGAAGCTGACGTGCTTCCGCATTGCCCACGCTTTCTAGAGCATCCATGCCCAAACCACATTAACATTCGTGTTCCAAGCGTGCACGGTGACGAGAGCACCCATGCCCAAACCAGAATAACGTTCGTGTTTCAAGCGCACACCCTGGGAAAAAAGTTCCTGGCGCACTACTTTTCTTGCAAGACACAACGGCATGTTATGATTTCGTGCAGATTGCATACTATTTGGACTGCTGTTGTTGCATTTCCCAATAGAAATCTCATTAATTTCCATTTGTAATTGGATTGCCATTTCGCTCCCGGTAACAGCAGTAATTTCAAAGCGTTCAAACTACTGCGAGGGTCAGTATTTTTCGGCTTGCCAAAGACATGCTCCTGAAACTACATTCTGGACCATCTACAACGCTGAAGCCTGCAACGGGTGCAGAGTATGTCATCAAAAGCCCAAGCGGCTGCCAAGAAGGGACCTGGAATAGGTCCACTTGGCAGCAAAATGACGTTGCCACTGTGGCTAAACATACATTTGAACAGCATCAGAGGGGTCGGTTTGACGCGGGTGGTAGTAGTGGTGGTGGTGGTAGTAGTAGTAGTAGTAGTAGCAATAATAGTAGTAGAGGAACTCGTAGTAGAAGTAGTAGTGGTAGCAGTAGTAGCAGCAGCAGCAGTAGTAGAACCCACGAGTCGGATATCCGACAGTGCGTTAATCCGCCGCTGGTTTACCTCAAAATCCTCAAACGGCGTTTTCACAGTGGTAATTCCTCAATGTTGCTGATCTGCTCTAGACGTTGAAAGGGCCAAAGCACCTGTTTTGGCACGAGGCACTTTTTCTGCCTTTCGCCAGGGGAACTCACTCATGTTCATGCATTTTTGCGTTTTTGCTGTGGGAATTCCATCATTTTCATTCACCACTGCATCCATTTCTTTGCATCCGGAGAACCAAGATGCCAACGACATCCATGTTGCCACTGCATTAGTTTCTTTGCATCAACGTAGGCATCGGTATAATTGCACTGACGTAGTCATGACATATAGGAAACAGGGAAATAACGTCTTTGGCATAGAAATACAACTAACAATCTAATGGTCTAGCCTAGCATTTGCTTGTTGGCGCTGGGATGCCCTGTGCAACTGCAGGGTGCGCATCGGTGTTGCTTCTGCTTGCAAAATTACGCCCTGAAACCAAGGTACAGGGCATCCAGGACGAGACCCGGTTGATTTCAAACAATGCTCTTTGGCCCTTGCAAATGCTCAACGACCCTACGTACAGTTTCCCATTCCATTTTCCATGACAGGAACAGTGTTTCCCGCACTTGGCAATGTTCACGAGGAATTCCATCATGCAAAACACCATACCGTTAGATATCCGACGCTTTCGTCGTCGTGGTCGTCGTCGTAGTAGTAGTCATGGTGGTGGTGGTGGTGGTGGTGGTAGTAGTAGTAGTTGTTGTTGTTGTTGTTGTAGCAGTAGCAGCAGCAGCAGTGGCAGTAGCAGTAGCAGTAGCAGTAGCAGGAGGAGGAGTAGTAGTAGTAGTAGTAGTAGTGGTTGCGGCAGTAGTAGTCGTACTAGTAGAAGAAGTAGTAGGGGAAGTGTAGCACACAATTAGAGCAGGAGCAGTAGCAGGAGCAGTACCTGTAAAAGTCCAAAGCAAACTCGACGCGGAGGTGGTCATGAGCTATGGGGAGGTGCTTAGCGAGTTGGTGCAAGCCAAGTGCGGAACCTCAGCGTGCGGACAAAACAAACGTGCGGCCTTTAAGCTCCCTTGCATTCCAGGGAGGTTTTTCAGACCGTGATGATGTGAAGTATGAGGTCTGAGCAAATTGCAGGCATTGCAATAGTTTGGTTGGTCATGCTTGGAGCCAGCTTACATGGCCGGCGCCTCAGCTTTCAAGAGTTTATTTCATCACTGATTGATAGCTCTCAGCCTTTTGCACCGAGGCCTCCCATATTGCTCCATGCATTACGGACTCTTCCTATGTGCCCCGGGCTTCGCTTGGGGCTTTTGCTGCGAAAGCGACAGCTGCAGCCGTTGCCATCGTTGTGGTTGTTTCGGATCAATTTTACGCTGCAGCCTGCTCATCCTGCGAGATTTTTCTAGATATTTTCACACAATCCAAGCGCCAGGCGTGTTAGCTGCCCTGCTTACGACCTTTGCGCTTATCATGCCGTGCTCCCAGGGCCCTGAACGAGTTTTCTCAGAACTGCTAGTCGGTGTTTCAAGGACCCGGCGATTTCAAGCCACCTCCTATCTGAATCCCATTGACTGGCTGAACGGCGGAGGGAAGGTGCGGCCTTCATGGAAAGCAGAGCGCCCAGGTCGCGCTTGGGAATCCAGCTTTGAGCCGTGCGGGCAGGATCGTCATCCGATGACGTTTCCCATGGTTGCTTTTGGCTTCAGCCTTACCGCAAACAACTTAGGGAGATGTCCCAACAAGTGGGCCTTTTGCTCTTCATCCACTTGGGCGTGTAAGGCACTGGTTTTCTGGGAGCCATGCTAGGCTGGGTGCCCAGGAAGACTTGCTTGCCATGCTTTTCGTTCTTGGGGGAAGAGATTCCTTTGTTTCATGTTGTTTTCATTCATTGTTTGTCTTTGTGTGTATGTCCTTGCTTCTGGCCTTCTGCTATTGGCTGGTGCCTCCGTTTTCTGCGTTTCCAACTACTGGCTGTCTGAACTCCATTCTCGGCCTGCGCTCTTCGTTTTTTTCGTTTCCCTGCCCTCCTTTTTTGGTTCACTTCCTGCTGCTTGCTTTACACGCTCTGCTTTAAGCTTTCTGCGTCTTCCTTTGTTGGCCTCTTCGTGCCATTGATGCTATGACCTGTAGTTCTCACATAAGCAATAGTCAGTGCATAAGGCACGAAGAGATAGGAATCGCGCATAAAGGCCAAAAAGCAACAGGATTCCCCAAAGATATTCCATTTTCAGACTGTTGCCATCATGAGCATCCTTCTTGTTATTCTTGTCGTCATTGATGCGACTACTCCTGGTCTTAGTACAACAGCAACAGCAGCAACAACAAAAGAGCGGAGACGACAACAACAGCAGCAGCAGCAACTATACAGTGACAGCGCTGCTTAAGAAACAGCTACGCTCAGATGACAGTACCCTGGATTTCTCAATTATGAGGCCTATATTTTTTTAAATCAAAATATTCTAGCTGACTTTGAAGGTACCCACGATTTCTTAATGCATATTTTCTTCATTCGGAAAATTTGGTAAGATTGAACACATTCCAAACAAACAAAAATTATGAAATTGAGGGGCTCAATGTCTTAGATTTGGCCGTTTTTGAAATTGCTCCATTTGGATTAAAATGGAGCAGCTACGGTATCTATTATTAAGAAATGAAGCAGCTGTAGTATTGCTTATTAAGAGTATTGCTTATTAAGAAATGGAGCAGCTATCAAGAAATGTGCTGTGGTGGGATGTGAGCCCATGATGGTATGATTCAGAGGCCCGCGCCATAACAATTAGGCCACGACATGCTGGGGAATGGTAATGAGGAGAAATGGTACGATGTTTCTCCAAATTGAAAAGAATACCCAGCTTTCAACAAACAACAAATTAAGAAATTGAGGGACTGAATTTCTTGATTTGATGTTTTTTTGCAATCTGAATATTTTTTTTATGAATTTGGAGACGAATTGGACAACTGCTCCATTTTTAATAAAAAATACCACAGCTGCTCCATTTTAATCAACATTAAGAAATTTCCAAAACGGCCGAATTAACCTATTGCTGTCAGTAGGAATACTAAAGCTCGTTTGTACTGCCCTTCTGCGTATTACTACTAAGACTACGGTTTTTGCAACGGTTACTGCTTTTCACGTCCTTTCGCCAAGTTAACCGCTCGTCCGAGTTCTGCCTGGGCCAGGGGGCCCTGCCAGAGCTGGAAACACTGGCTGCGGGACAAGCAAGCAATACTGGGGGGGGGGGGGGGGNNCGGGGGCAGGAAGAATAAAAAGAACACACAGCTGACCTTTGAACCCCAGCCCTCCGGCCTCGACAGATTATGATGATGATTCTTAGCGGCAACGTATGGCTGCAGTATTTACAAAAACAAGTTCCTTCTTTGTCGCTTTTCATTCTTTCCATTAATATTCGGACACTGTATAATCACATTATCACTGCTGCCAGTGCATTGATGAGCAACTAGTCATAAAACTGCGCTTTTACTTCATTGTCGCCGCTGTTTCCTGTCATGCTGTCAGTGCTAGCTTATTCCAATTATTTGCTGTTCTTACCTGGCTCCTATTGTTGCTTTCGTTGCGTTGCTGTTGCTGCTGACGTTGCCCTCTGGTCATCAATATTGCTGCTTCTGCGATTACCAGAAGTATTACGGCTACCATGATCACTACCGTTCAAGTTATCCTTGATACTCCCCGTGGCATTGTCCTTGTTGTTGTTATCTTCGTTATCATCAGTGGCAGCATTATTCTGATCAACGTCATTGCCCCATTCATATTAGCGATAGGGTTCTTGCAGCCGCATGCTGCATCACTCTATACTACTGCAAGTCCAAATGTATTCTGATCTAGGCTCGTCCTGCTTCGCGTTCACAAGACTGGTGCGCATGGGGGCGGGGCTATCTGAACGCTCCTCAAACTGCACTGCTCAAGAGCTTGTAACGCTGTAAGATGGAGTTTTTGAAGCCTCCAGGAGGCTCAGAAGGGAGGTTTCGCTAAGAAGAACACGAAACACGTGACAAAAAAAAGAAAACCACACGGAACACTAGTACCTTTTTGAAGTTGGTGCTTGTGGCTCTAGAGAGCTGCCCTGAGCACCTGCGTGAAGCGACCTTGTGCGAAAGTCCTGCTCTCAGCAAGACGAGCACACAAGTCAAGGTCTTGGCGGCGGCATCTTGCTAAGTCCGGTCTTGATCGAGGCCTGAAAGTAGCTTGAGTAGGACTAGGATGGCTGATGTTTTCAGAGCAAGAAGTGGATGAAGCGGGCTGAGTTTGAGATGACAGCATCTGAATCTGAGCTCATCTGCCCCTGAGCTCTATGCTGTTTTGTTGTTCAGTTGCCGGCAAGGTGGGCATGCACAGCGAGGCTGTTCAGGCTTTTCCGCTTGATGCAAGCCCCGTCACTTGAGCCACGTCTACTGCTTTCGCGGTGAAGCACTCTGTGTCTTCCACCGCTTGCCTGCAGCGTGCAGTGTGCAGTCGAGATTCCTGCAGAAGCCAGACCCTGCCTTGCTTGTGCAGGCAACTGTCGCGAGTTTCGTGTTTCTGCCTTTCCCCCGGCATCTTTAGGTTTTGTGATTATGCAAGAAAGCGTGTGCAGCGTGGACTGGGAAGTTGTTGGCAGCTAGCGGAGGTTACCAAGTGTGACGAAGCTTTGGCCAATCATTTGCTCAGCTCATCTCTGCGATCTCTTCGCACAGTCTCGACATTCTGTGGTCACAAATGCATCAGCACGACTGTTTGAGCTGAAAAGCGGATGGCATCTGCTTGACAGCAGGGAATTTTGAGAGGGCTGACCAGACCTCAGGTCAAGCTCCCTTGCGACTATCCAGTACTTCATGATGGGGCAGACACGCGGCATATCATGGCATGATTGTGCAGCTGCTGCTAGGCTCCCCATGCCCAATATTACATGTGCTGAACATTTCGAACATTGCCGAACTGCCTCAGGATTGTGTGGCATTATGCTTTGTGGTATGGTGCCGTCGCCATCATCGCCACATACCTGGGTCAGACCGCCTGCGAGGAGATCCGCTGGGATGGGGGGAGGGGTGCGGGATTGCGCGTTACTCATCAGACACTGTGAACGTGTAGGTCCAGGGTGCAGGGCGTGACTTTCTGTGAATGTCTCGCGGGCAATGGCAAGATGCCAGATGGGCATGTTCTCTTCCATTTCAGCCAGCGCACCGAGTTCTCGCATACCTCCAACTGCAGTTTGGTTTGGGCTGGGCACCTTGACCGTTGCAGGCTTTTGTGAAAGAAAAAGCAACAACACGTGCTTGCAGGTGTTTATTCGAAAGCGCAGGCGCTATTCCTTCATAACGTTTCCAGACTGCATTCATCGATTCCGTCATCAGCTCATTTTGCTCTGCTTCCACAGCAAGAGGGATAAATTTTTGAGGGTATGCCGTTTGCATTTCGACATTTTCCATCACAAGGCTCTCAGTAACCACGGTCCTGGGATTGTCCCTCTTTTGCCTCTGCGTGGTCGGGACAAAAACCGTGGCTTGAATGCAGTGATGGCTGATGTTGCTGGGCGTGCTTTACCGTGCAGTTGCCTGAGTGTGCGTGTATGAGGCTGCCAAGGTTGACATTGAAAGTAACAATGATAACATTAGCAAGACAGGATGACTTAGCAAAAACATGGCACATGATTGCCTGCCATGCTGATGTGCTTTTTCCAGACCATCGAATGTGTTTGGTGCGGTTAACTACAGAGCTCGCCTTTCATGCAAAACGCAGCATGGCATAGCGAAGGTCCTTCACGACTATGACATGGGCAAGCCGATCTGGTTCTCGTTCACTCGCCTTTGCTACTGGGACGTACAAGGTATGACCAAACAGTATCGATTGGCTAGTGGTGGTGCCTGTGGCGGAAGTAGGCATGGTGGTGGCTATGGCGAGGCGGTGCGGGTGATGGTGTTTTGGGAAAGAGAGAGCATCAGGGAAGTTGCTGCTAGTGAGGTGCCAGCGGTCGCGGGTCCATTATCCGACCCAGCGTGGCAGGCCTCAGAAAGGGCTTTTCGAACGGTAGTTGGATTAGTGGGCTTTCCACCATACACTTTCGCAACCTTCGAGTAATGACGAGTATATAGGTCTGGGTTCATGTTAAGCATCATTTCTTTGCAATCTTTCTCAGTCGTATTACATTGGTTGGTGCGTCCATGTTTGCGGTCGCCTCGACTGTCCTATCAGTTTTGCAGAAGCCCTGTCGTGCGGGCCGCTGCATGCCAGCAAGGTACCCCAAGGAGCCTGCTGGTTTGTAGAGCGGAATGCTAAGTCAACTGGAACTAGCCATGACGCTGACCGTAAAGAATCAAAGCTTGACTTTACATTACTTGAGAGCTTTTCGCCAGGTGCAAGATGACCTCGTTTGCGACTTTAAAGCAGCCGAAAAAGCGAGACGGCCAAAATATAGCGTTTGCTCTCTCACATCGAGCACGAACGGCACTCAGCGGAGAACATTTGTGATCCTCGGTCTTGAGCGGAAACTCCGGACTTTGGCTGGCCCCTTCTGTCTTTTAGCCATGACATGCAGCTCCTCCCAGTGGACAGCACAGCAGCATCAGGTAAACCCGTAGATCCGTGGCTCAATCCACGGGTAAAGAAACAGGCGGCCGTTCGAATGTCAACTGTCAGAGTGCGTTGAAGCTTGATGCCTGGGGCCATTTTCGCCATAAATACGACTGCCATGAGATGCAACGTTGTGGATGCTGTGACTGCAGCTTGTCTTCCAGATACAGCTTTGCAAGATTGTCTGTCAAGTCTGACATGCTTCACGTTCTCGACGTCCCGAGGCATCCCCTTGGGCTGCGAGGGGTTGTGGTCTCTTTGGCGAGGGATTGGCAAGAGAAAGGCTGTTTCTGCAACCTGCCGGCAGTTGAATAGCATGTGACATGAGACAGCTGATTTGCTTCTGCTTAGGTCAGAGCGATCGGAGCCTTGACAAGATATGCAGACTAAGTCAGAGGAGCCAGGGGGGGCCAGAGCATTTTCATGACAGGAAGGCGCGCTCCCAATCCGCTTGCAGCGCTCATCCGCTACCATGAGGTGGGCGGACGCAGGCCAGGCAATGTTCTGAAAGCTTCCAGTGTAGCTGGGTGCAGCTGGCAATGGCATGGTGACTTAAGAAAGATCAATAAAGGAGACTGGAGGATGATTACCAGCTCCAGGAGGAGATCTTGGGAAGTGGCATGTCGGGAAGCATCCAGCTTGTGACGAGTCACCCGGCTCAAGCCTACCCTGAAGTCGGCTCATGATGGCACATGCAGTTTCCGCGAAAAAAGGTATAGCGCAACCTTGGCAGTCGCCTCTGGATTTTGTGTTTGCATGATTCTGCCTGGAGGCAAACCGGACTAGGAGCAGGCAACATTTGGCACCTGAAAGCGTAGTTCTTTGTCATGTTCTCAGGCGTTGCTGGCATATGTACAAAATGTGCCTGAATTGCCGGATGCTGGCTGAACTTGTGTGATTGCATGTCAATGTCTGTGTGAGAGCACGCATATCTCACTATGCGTCCGAAAAGTCGACACTTCGAGTTTGGAATGTCCGGTCGGCTTTCAGTGGCTGGCTTTGACATTTGAGGTCTTCGCTTGGTCATTCGGCGCTTGTGGAAACCGTCAAGCCCAGACCAAACGCCCTGTTGCCAAGGTTTTGCCCTGTTTGGTTTCGATACGGACCCCCTCTACGCTTTTACCCCTGGTCACACAAGCTGTGGGTCAGATGGAACCCTTCTAAATTTGTACCTGTCACTCCCTGGCAAAATTCCTTGCAAATCTTGCAGCCGAGAATTTTTTCCTGGAACCCCTCCGTTTGTTCATCATCTTTCATGTCATCTGCTCGCCATGCTCGCCTCAGGGCTTTCCTAGAGTCATAAGGTGTCATAGATCCTGCACACACATCCCATGGAGCTACATATTGACAGCTGTCAAGCAGGGAATTTGGTGCGGCTGTCCAAGCATAAGGTGCACAAATGATTGAGAGCAACAGACTCGACTCAACAACAGGCCAACACCCTTAGACCTCGCACAGGACGTGTGCCACGAAGCGCTGTGGAAACCTCTCTGCCACATGTTGTCATAAACCGCTAATGTTGGCACTCTGAAATTTCCAGATATTGGCAGCACTAGTAATCACTAGTACTAGGCATGCAGTCAATGGAGTTGTTGCATTTCGAATGACCGACAGCACATCTAAGGCAGGGTTGACGGACGCAAGCATGCATTGAAGACGTTCGACAAGAACGGCATGACAGAAGGCCAACTCTCTTGAATTTATTCAGGTGTTCTTTCTGCTGATTATGATGTAGACTTGTGTACGCAAGCAAAAACACAAGGGCTGTTGGAATGTGCAGCTGCATACTTCGGGTATTGGACTCACGTATTGATGATGCGGCTCCTCGCCGAAACCTCACAGCCAATTTCATGTTCCAGGTCGATACAAGCATCTCAAGAAGGAATGTGAGGTCTTTCTGACGGTGGACCATCCCAACATTGCGCATTTGCCGCCTAGCTGCATAGTGACCAAATGCGGGCCTTTTGCGTAGCCGGGCCACGACGTGCTCAATCTCTATCCTCAAACATTACTGTTCGCAGTGATACCTTCTGAAGATGGCAGCTTGGGCTGGAGGCTTTCGAGCTGCAATGTCCAGATCCTGCTGTCAGACCATGAAGTTTTGGCAAAGCAGTGCCAGCAAGGAGCGATGTCTACGAATGGGAAGAAGGCATTGCGCTGATCATGGAGCGGCTTTGCATGAAAATCAAGCCGCATATGACGCATATGCCAAACCGTATGCTGGAGGCTGAGATTCTCACACAAATTCAGGTATTGCTCCGGCGGGGAGTTACTGCAGCGATTAGAAGCCCAAGAGGTTTACGACGAAGCGGATGCTGCAGAAGCCGCTCGACAGATGCATTTATCAACAGAGCGAAGGCAACTTTTTTGTTTGTTTGTTTTGTTCGGTTGAAGCCATCCCATTTTGGGCGAAGGACGCATCAGCATTTTGGCATCAACGCGTTTCGTCAATTTGTTTGGTTCATTTATAGCCCCCTGTCTGAATCCAGGCAACAGTTCAAATCCTCCAAGCGGTCAACTACCTGCACGCGCACGGCATAGTACACCGCGATTTGACTCTTCTTCCAAACTGTGCAGCGATTGAGCCAATATCCGGAAGTGTTGCTTGCACATGATGCCCATGAGGAAGCTTCAAAACTTCCTCTATGATGCTCGGTGTGCATAAGCACGAATGCAGCATGGTTTTGCTGTGACTTGGACTGCTTGATTGGAAGTGTCCCGATGCAAGGAGTCACCTGAGAAAGATGCGCTTCTGAAGTTGATTGATTTTGGCCTATGTGAGACGCTGGAAGAAGCTCAGTAACGCAAGCAGATCGGAGTGGCGGTATCCAGGGCGAGGTAACTTGCTCCTGTCAACAGAGAGAACGTTTCAACATGTGTCAACAATACTCCTCGGGTGTGCTGTTTTTATGTTTGCGTTCTTCGCAAGTATCAAATTGAAATGCGGGCTCATGGATCACCAGCCATGGTACTGCAACACTGCTGAAAGGAATGGGTCAAGTCAAGCAGAACAAGCTTTCTTGAACACATTCTTTTGAACACAATGCAACCAGCCGTGAGCTCCATGTAGCAGGAAGCCCGATGCACATTTCTTCGTGCACAAGCAAGATAAGGATGCCGACATGAAAATGCGGGCGTCGGTCGGTACTCTCGAGTTCTGCAGCCCAGATGTCATCACTGGCAAGGCCCAGTTTCGAGAGGTAAAGTGGAGGAATGTTTGTGACGAACGGACGCCCTGACTTATACCCGGGAGAACTTGCAGCAGCCTGCCGTACGTGTTACTCTAAGACAGCAATGCTTAGCGCAAGCACAGCTTGTAGGGGACACATGTTCCTCAGAAGTTTCTTTTGCTGTTTTGAGTGGCGAACACTTCTCAGGGGTATTTTGAAGCTGAGAAGGCACTGGCGATCTTGTTTGAAAGGTCGCAGTGTCAAGAAGCTTGCACAAGCAGGATGCAGAATGAATGCCCGCAACCCTTTGCAGGAATACACCAGGCAGTGTGCCTCCTGGCTGCTGAGTGAATCCCCCTGTGCAGACGGGCTTGCGTGTACTGTTGTACTTTTGGGCAGCTTTCCAACCTATCATGGCAAATCCTCAGGACTTGTGGAGCCTGGGCGTTGTCGTGCCTCGGTCGGTTGCAATTTGATAATTGGATCACATTCACGAACTTGTTCGTTGCCCGTCTGAGGTATTTATGCTGCTTGCCGGCAGGCCACCTTGGAGCAATGCACGAGGATTCGAAGGCATGCGCCTCCTGTCATAATTAGGAGGTACTTGCATTCACATGCAGTCGTCCTGCTGCCTGAAGACTTCAGCTGCCATGAAGGTGTTACAACACTGCTGAAGGCATCCAGTGTAGCCAGCCATCATGCATCTTAGCCTGCTGAAGGCAAGGACATTGCCAAGGGGCTCGTCAAGTGGGACCGGCTTCACAACGTCTCAGAAGATGCGATCCTCGCGCGAATCCGTTGATCATTCGCTGTTGTCCTTGAACCATGGTGACTGCAACAGCAAGACCGCAATCAAACCCAAGGCTGTCTTACATGGAAAATGAACACTGGAAAACAGGTCCAGATCTGCACCACATCTAAGAAAGCTATCGCTCGTTTTTTTTTTTCAGAGGGCAGGCGGGATGGGACTTGGTGTAAAACTTCGGTCCTGCTAGAGCATGTAGACTAGACTTTGTAAAAACAAAATCCGGAACCGGGCATTCTTCTAGCCGCGAAAGATTAGGAAATGTAGACAGTCACCCAGCCTGACAGTCAGCAAGATCAGATTAAATGATTGGCAAAGGAAAGACTTCTTGCAGCAGCTTCTGACCGTGGATCCCGAGCAGCGCATGACCGTGGCTTGGTAGTCCCTATTACGTGGCTTACGGCATGACGCCGAAATCCCTGTATGAAGCGGCTTTGAGGCTGCAGCCGCGCTTCAGCATCCGTGGCTCACCAAGACAGCAGCATCAGCTGCATATAGCTGCAAGTGGGAACGGTGTTTTGTGCGCACGATGAATTCTACCTAGCAGCTCCCCACCTCCCATCAATAACAGCTCACCTAAGGTACATAAGTCTTTAAGAAGAGCATGCCTTGATGTGTAAGAGGACAGAGCATCGCTAGCTGCGCACTTTGCGAGCAACCAATAGAGCGCAACGCCCTCTGAGTTTGCGGACGCGAAGCCCAAGCTGGACCGCTCCGTGTTGGTGTCACTGCAGCAGTGCTTGGGCTCACTTCAGGATCCATCGTTTCACTTCATGCTGAAGCATGGCAGCCTCCATGTACACACCTGAAGGTACACATCAAAGTCGAAGATGCAACGTCTTCTTTTGTGTCTTGCATGCAGATTCCGTTTACTCGCACTCGACCGCATTTTTAAAGCGCCTGCTTTGAACAGCGGAGCAACTAGCCGTGCTCTGCCTTGCCCTTTCTCAAGACCATTTGAGACAAGAAATCTTCAGCCTACATCGGTCTTCAAGAAGATATAGTAGTACTGGTCTTGCGGCTGCTGGCACCGCTGGCACCGCTGCCCCAGAGAACGCCGGTGGATCCGCAAACGCGCGCGCGCTGCAATACAGAAGTGAGGGTGGAATAGGGTGGACGCTCAAAAGCATGGGACTGGCGCTGTACGCAAGCACTACAAGAGTGACTCAGTTAAGAGCAAACTAACGGGCAGGAGCTTGAACTAATAGGGCGATGCTAAAACTTAAATCAAAAACTCCTCACCCTTGGGCTAAAGGGGCGTAACTTCAACTAATGGTAACGATCCTTGGACTAATGGGGCGGAGCTTGGACTAGTGGCGATGATAAACTTTAATCGGGATACCTCACGAAAAATGACGCATTCAGACACCAAGTCAGGAATTCAGGCACTGACCATCCCAGGACATGCAGGAACCCAGCAGGGAAATTTGGGAACCAAAATTGAGGAACCACGGCAGCCAATTCGGCAACCAGGGCAGCCAACTCAGGGACCGGGCGGGGACAATTCAGGAGCCATGGGTCCTCAAATGTAGTGGAAATTTGCACTACATTTTGCCTGCATGGTTCTCCCGGAGTTTGCATTTAGGGTTTCGGTTTCGGGGTCGCCCACGCTCCTAGGTTTCCGCAATTTCCGGAAATCCAGGTTTAGGGTTTCTAGAGATCAGCATCTGCAGGGTTCAAGGAGTTCAGGGTTTAGGGTTTTCTGGATCTGGAGTTTTTGATCTGGAGTTTTCAGGATGTAAAGTTTTCAGGGGTAAGTGCTTTGCAGGGTTTGCAGGGTTTTCCGGGTCTAAGGTCTTTAGGCTTCAGGGTTGTTAGTTTTTAGGGTTTTCAAGGCTTAGGGTTTTTAGGGTTTAGTGTTGAGGAGTTTTAGGTTTAGGGTCTTCAGGGTTTTGGGTTTTAGGGTTTTAGGAATTGGGCTTCTCGGGATTGGGCATCAGGAGGTTCAAGGTTAGGTCATTGACGGAAGACCTCGTCGCGCCATCGTCGAAGCTCCTTGAAAGTGTGATATCTATGGGATTGTGTGGAGTTCGTAGTGTAGTATAGGGCTTATACGCCGTAACAGGAACCAGGCTTTTCTCTTTTACGAGGGACATTAGGAGTTCAGACTAAAGCTTATATGACGCCGTGGGAATTACAGTACTGGTTATAGCAAGCTTGGTGGCATGAGGGCATCTCCTATCATGGAACATTCTCAGGCAGAGGCTTGCGGGTCTCTGGGCTTTGGGGCGGTTCGAATTTTGGCGGGACCATGGTTCCCGAATTTGGTTCCCGAATGTCGCAGCAGCCCACTCCTCACACCCTTGAACTAATGGGGCGAAGCGTTATGATGGTCCCGGGTATGGATGCTCTCGTATTCGTACTCAGTATACATTGGACAGGAGCGTTTTTATGGTCGGGCACCGATGCTCTCGTAATCGTGCCCGTTAGAACATGAACGTTATTATGGTCAGGCATGGATGCTCGTAATTGCCCCGATTTCAACACAAAAGTTATTTTGGTTTGGGTTTGGGCATGCAAGCACAGCAACGTGGGCCAATGAGCTGACATGAGCTGTGGCCGTAGGATTCTTGCCATGATCCATGCAGAAGAGGTGTCACGGAAAGCACCCCCGTGTGCAAAAATTTAGCTAAACGTGTGGCATGCGCGATTTTGTGGGTCGGCGTTCAAGCAAGGGAGCCAAGAATTTGGATATTCTCAGCCGTGGCACGAGGCAGCAACAGTACGATTGAACAAAAACGCTACGCTGGCCAGCAAAAAACAAGCCTCCGACAGGCAAAATTGCCCAAAAGTGTGGCAGGCGCAGTGATTTTTTGGCGCGGGTACACCCCCCAAATCCCAAGCAAGACAGCCCCTGACACCGTGCCACCAGCGCCTTTCCAGCGCCGCCTGCATCACCCCTGCCACATTTTTGTTGTTGCTTCTGTGATTTTATTTTTTCTTAGGGCTTTTGCGCGAGATGGTTCTCACCATTCTCGTAGCTCGCTCGCTTAATCGGGAACAGGATGACAAGCAAGAGGAATGTCAGTCGGATAGTGTGTCCAAGGCAGCTTTTAGCCCAAGAGCTGGCTCCAGAAGAGGTTAGCGAGATGCGCGCGGAACTCTGGTGATGCGATGCGAAGTGCCTTGCGAGGCAGTAAAGGATTTGTGCGCAGAGTGCACATGCCAAGGCGAACTCTTCATGCAGCTCGACTCCGTTTGGTCCTCAGCTTGCACGTGCTTCACGTTTCAGATTCCGCTTTCTGGTCAGAGTTCCTGGTGCGAAGGACGCACGAGGCACCATCCGACTCTGTGACTTGAAGGAGAGGGGAGCTTGGAAAAGGTGTTGTGATAGCTTAACATAAACAGATGAGTCTAACAGTTCAGGCATCGGCATTAATATACGTACACACGTTATTGCCAGGCGTAGTGCCAAAACAGGGCAGCTCAGAATAAAACAGCTGCTCGATCCAACACTTTCTGTAATCGGAGTTGTTTGGAGGGCTGGTTTGCATGAAGAAAGCCATGCGCCACCGTGCAGCATGCATGTGCTTTTTGTCGCGCATGGTTCTTCAACGGTGAACCTTTACCATCTCACAACAATGCGTTCAGGCGTTCAGATGTTGACATTACCACCAGTGCCAGCATACCCTTTTCAGCACTTCATGGGCGCTGTTGTTGGGAGGATGCCATGTGCCGCCACACGTGCAGGGAGCCTTAGCTGCAGCAAAGGTCGGACCAATCTATGCAGAGCTGCCTGAAAAACGGAGCATGTCGAACTGCGCGATGCACGTGAGCCACTAGTCACTAGTCACTTGACTGAACGATGATGCTGTACAGCATGGCTGCCTCTGCAGCCAGGCCAAGCATCCCTCGCCAAGCACCTCTAGGCAAAGACTCTCAAGACTCGGTTGCTCCGTGCTTGAGACATGGTCGGCCCTGAAGCCTTCATCCATGAGGATTGGATCAAGGCGGTGGCGCGAGTGAGTGTTCCATTGACAGGTGGTCACAGCATCTGCTCAGCCCCAAGATGCGCGCATAAGTCTCAGATGACATGCTCTGAAGTTAGGAGCTGCTTAGTCAATGTCCATGCATTGCCTTCTGAGGCTTCGCACCAAAACCGGATGCGGCAGCTGCTTGTCTTGCTGTTGAGCGAGCGTGAGCATAGCAGGGCCTAGCGGCTCAGCAGCCTGCTTGCAGAAGCCTGCGCGTTGCTGTGCTTGGCCCCACACGAATGCCGAAGCTGATAGTGCTTGCCAAGGGCAGCCCAGGGCATAATCCACATTGCAGAGTCAGCCAAGGGTCACAGCCCCATTCCTGGCCGTAGCTCCTGCCGACGAGGTGGTGGATGGCTGGATGGCATGGGCTCCATTGGTTGTTCGAGCTTGCGCCTCGCAGGCAGAGGAAATCTTTGCGGTACTGGATGCGAATGGAGACGAGGAGGTCTACTATTCTGCACAGGGCTAAGAGCCAGCCTGGCTGAACTTCTGGCTAGTGTGCAGCTATCAAGTTCCAAGATGTTCCAAGTATTAGTAGAGTTGTACGGTACAGCAACCTGGAGAGAGAGACATGAAAGTAGTGAATGCTGAGGACTTCCTGGCTGCTACGGCGAGTGTCCGATGGCAGCTGCGGCATCTTGTCGGGAGGGCCTATTTAGATTGGCATATGTGGCGAGCGTCTATCCAAATGGCTTAAAAGATCGATGTTAAGGGGTCGACGACTTCTCAACACGTTACAGGCCCGTACAAGCTGCGAAATATGATACTTGAGGTCAAAGATTCGCAAGCAAAACTCCTGAAAGTAAATTCGGGGTTGAAAAAATGCTGAGTCAGCCTCTGCGTTTCTAAACTTCAGCAGCTTCGCAAGCTGGCGTGAAATCTTCTGAATCCAGGCGTGAAGTTCTTCGCAAGATCTTCAACCGCTTTGACAAAGACCGCTCCGGCGCCATCAGCATGGACGAGGCGAGTATGTCTGGGTCGATGACGTGACGTGATGCAACGATGCTTCTTGTTGGACTGCATTCTCAATGGCTGAGCCTAAGCCAAGGTTGAAATCGTCATTAAGCATCTTAATAATCATTCTTGCGACACCGATGCCAACCATTGACAAGAACGCGGCAGCTTTGGCAGGTCCAGCTTGTTCTCGCAGAGTCCTTGGAGGAAGGAAGCGCATTTGATCTGCTGCTGCTCGGCATTCTCATTGCAGTGATTTCTGCTGGAGTTGCCGCAGCGTTCCGGCGTGAGGCAAGAGTCCAAAGTCGTTCTTGACAGCAACGGCGAGATCAGTTTCGAGGCATGTGTTGACAGCTTGGCACTGCCCTGCTATGGCCACTATTTGTTTTGCGTTTTCTTCACGCTGGTTCTTTCTTTGTTTCATTGTGACCAGCCAAAGGCTTGGCCTCGTGCTCGGGCTCGAATTGTTTGGTCCAGGTGTCCTTGCGGTAGGCGGTTTTGGACCCATTATACATCCCAGAAAACCTTGTTGGGAACAAGACTCCTGATCTTTGTAGACTTACAGTGTCATAGCCCTGAAGGAAACTCAAAAACAGAACGGAAATTCTGCAGCATTTCTTTTTCTGGGTAGGAGGTGCGGTTGCGGATGCCAGGGTTCCCTGATGCAACCATGCTGCGCAGGCTTTTGTCAAACTCTTCGAGAAGAAGGATGTTCTCCCACCTGAACATCATGCGCCCGCAAACTGAGAAAAGCTAATACAGTCAGTGCAGGACTGCAGATTGTCAGGAGTTCATTGTGCTATGCTGTCGCGCTCCGAGGCCTCACGCATTGCCGCGGGAGGATCTTCTACGTGCATGTGCCTGGGAGGAAACCCCCGGATCACTTACGCCAACGAGGACCCTTTGCTGTTTACAGCAGGAAACTTCGTGGCTGTTTCGGTCGTTTTCTGGGAGAAGGTTCTACTCGTGTTTGACAGGACTATGGTAAGTGTTTGGCTGTGCAGTATTTCTGTTTGCTACGTCCAGCTCATAGCGTACGGAGTTGAGGCTCGTTTGACCTGTGGTGCCTTTGTGCTCCAGTCAAAGCATTGCAATTTTCTTCTGTCATTGCAGGAGCTCGAGGATAAGACAGGGGTTTAGACGATCTGAGTCCGAGCCGTAGCCCGGTGGACCGAAAAGACGCGCTGCTATGCACGTGATTCCAGGGTTAAGTCGCACCTTGCACGTGCTGTGGTAGACATGTTGCGGAGCGCTTGATGCAGCAGTGCAGCAACACAGGCCGCTCATGCCGGATCAGCAGTGCTCGAGCACAGCGCAATTCAACCCCAATGCAAAGTCAGAGCTGGTTTGAGTCTCTCGATGTCCAAACTGTTCTTGGAAGTGGCCCGTATTGGATCATTTGGGAAGCTGAAACTCTGCGGGCAGTACAAGCAGGACCTGCAGATGGGCACATCCATGTGCTGCAGGATGTAAGCTGCGTTGGCCACGTGTCTGCGCCGGGCTTCCCCAATGTGTCAAGCAGCAGTGCCTTCCTCATCTGCAGCGTAGGAATGTGATGCTGGCCATGACGTACTTGCCTGAATCAGCTTGCGTATGATTCTATCGCCAAATAACCTAAGGATATGGGATCCTGGAACCTGGAAAGTTGGATTTGAAACCATCGCGAAACAAATACAACCTAACATAATCACTGAACTCATCTTATTTGAAACCATCGCGAAGCAAATACAACATAACAGAATCACTGAACTCATCTTAGATGAGCATCCACCAGAAGAAGGGCCGTGCTTGCTAGCTTTTTTCTCCGCGCCTGTTGTACCCATTGGTTTCAAGTTGTGCTCAGGTGTCGTGTGTGTGTGTATGTTTTTGGTGTTTCTTGAGTTCATGTTGAGTTCATGTTGCGTCTGGTTTGTGTTCATGTTGGGTCATTTTCAATGTTTAAAAATGCTGTTTGAGATTTGTTGTTTGCCTTTTCCCTTGGGGGAGAAGGTTTTTATGAATTTGGGCGGACGGCTGTCCCCGGACCTTCAGGGGGCCCTCACAACCTGCAACAAAAAATCATGCAAGAAATAAAGGCAACACAAGCATAACAAACAGAAAACACAAATTTGCCTGCCAGGCCAAGATGTCTCAGGTCGGACCAGTTCTTTTCTCGAAAGCTGCACAAGGGCTCCCACTTTAAGATGTTTTCAGTGGTTGGGTCCAGGGTTCAGGAGGTGACCAGCAATCGTTGCGTTGGTGTGGGCAAGCGTCCTTGAAGCCGCATGCGCTGGCCTGGAGAATGGAGAGCGGAGTGTGTAGAGAGTGGAGCGTGGATTTGACAGTGGAGTTGAGTCTGAGAGTGGTGCGGAGTGGGTACTGGAGACTTGAGAGTGCAGAGTCTTTGTCGTGTGTTCAGTGTATCGTGTCGTGTGCGATACAGTCGCGAAATGCGTGTCTTCGTATTTTTTATGTCCTTGGTTTTTTGGGCGTTTGTCAGAGTTTCCTCGCATTTTTTCGAACGCGAAAGTCCACATCTACAATCTTTCTCACGGGCGGTCGTTCTAAGTGTATGCCGTCTGGAGCAGTACATTTGATTTTTGACAGTTGTTGGCAGATTGGTGGCCTGCCTGATTTGGCAGCTGGTGTCAGCTGTCACGTGCCCGTGATGGCTCTCGACTGGATCTCAGAACTATCACATGCAACGTTTCTTCAAGTATGTTTTCTGATCTTGGGCCTGGCGTGTTCTCGTTTGAAGTCCATTTTTATCCACAAGGCGGTGCTGGGTTTCGCTCTTTTGTTGCCAAGCGGCCTGCTGCCCAACTCACCATGGAGGCCCGACGTCCGTGAGAGCAATGGAAGATCTTGCCTGACAGGAACAGCCCTGAAGGGAGCCGGCTGCTATGGATAGGGTGTTCGGAAAATCTTGCGCTGTAGCAGCTGAACACTGACCTGAAGCGAAACGCAGCTGATCCGGCTTGACTACAAGTGTTCTTCCCTCCGTACGCACTTCTGCCATGCGCGGAAGAGCGAGTTGAGTTTCGGTGAATTCGATACTGGAAACCTACATCCACGTCTGAAGGATCAGATGGCTAAAAGAGGCCCAAGGACGATTTCAGCTGTCATTGCACCTTGCTTGCATATCAAGTTTTCCTGCTCGTCTTGAAGTAAATGATACATGTATCCTGCCAAACGGCAGAGCAGCCATCGGGCAACTGCAGTCATTTTTCTTGGTAGTATTTCAGACTGATTATACATGCCGGACGCAGAAGTGCAGGAAGATATTGGTTATGGTCCGAGTCAAGTCCTCACTAGCTTCGTCGTCAACGGCTCCTGGCTGGCGGATGGGGCAGAGCTTTTGGTGCTAAGTTCGATCTCGGCTAGCCTTGCAGCTGAGTGGAGCCTCACTCCAATCCAAAAAGGATGGCTAATGTGACTTGGACAAGTGTGATTCAAGTGGGTCAGCAGTTGTGAAGGGCAACAACTTGTCAGTCTTCGGTCCAAGATCCATTTCTTCTTCAACGCATCAACATCTGCCAAATCCACATAGTACTACAGTGTGATTTTTGCTCCTTTGTGTGACACTGGACTTAGCGCCTCAATGCCACATCAACTAACAAAAAAATGAAATTTCAGACCTCACACCCTGGATTCTATTTTGGAAAATTTCAGGCACTGAAGTGGACGCTTCACGTGATTGGCTGTAACCACCTGGCTGCATAGTGAAGACTTGAGTGAGGTCTGTTGTCTACCTGGGCGTCCTGCTTGGAAATGTTCTTAGCGGCATCCTGGGTGACTGGCTTGGGCGTCGGCACGCTGTGCTCATGTGTGACTTGTCATCAGACATTTCTTTAGAAGCTGCGACAGCATCTGCTCTTCATGCTATGCATGGTAAGTGGATGATTCGGTTTGCTAGAGGTGTGCTACTGCTATTAATTACTGCTTTCGCCAGGGCGGGGGGTCCTCACCTAGCCTGCTAAACCGATTGCAAATCTCTTCCGCGTCAGAGGATTCAGCAAGTTGAGGGCTCGTTACAGGTTGACTCGCCCTCCGCGTCGTGATGGCCCCAAGAGACTTTTGCCGTCTGCGGCAATTGTCATCATCTGTCCCAGGGCGCGTGTGAAGGCCCATGCTTAGCATGTGCTTAGCCATTCGCTCTGGTTAGGGACGGCCCCTGATTCTTGTCCAGTGTGCCCGGTTGTTTTGCTTCAGTGTACACACTCCGCTTACTACTCCTAGTACTAGTAGTAGTAGTAGTAGTAGTAGCAGTAGTAGTAGTAGTAGGCGCCCCCGCCCCCTAGGCACTACCGTTCTAGTTAAAATTCATCATAGATAGGTTGGGGAAGGGGTGGGGGGGGGATAGTTCCGTACGTTGTACTGTGCATTCATTATTGTAGTAAGTTCGGGAATGGGTGA